AGTTAAATGAGATTGTTCTTTTGTCTGCTTCTTCTTTTTCATTGCTAACAACTGTGTGTAATTGTCTGTGTGTAAGTCACTGTAATACCCAAATTTGTGAATTTGCAAAATTATTCTTAGCTCTGAAAGTAATTTTAGTTTTACTAACTGCTCTTAAATGAAAATGTTCATGATCAATATGCAAAGTATGTGGCACTTTCAGAGATGTTCATAACTAGTTAAAATATGATTTTCCTCTGTTCTTTTATAGATCAGCACTAGGGTTGTCACGATACTAAACTTTTCAACTCGATACCGATACTAAGGAAAATATTCGATACGCGATACCATTTTCGATACCACAAGGATAAAAACAAAGACTCCAAAATTCTACAGAAAATGTTCATTAATAAATAAAATACAATAAATAAATACAATAATGGTTGTATGCTGTGCACAATATTAAGCAAGCTTGATAAAAAACTTATAAAATTAAAATTAAGTGTTCCTTCCTTGGCTATGCTTTGCACACATAACAATGACACTAGCCAAACCGGTTAAGAAACAAAAATAATCCTCAGCAGCTGCACCTGTTACAAAAAAAAAAGTCTGAAACTGAAAAGTGCAGAGAATTATTCAATCACACAGTGTTCTGATTGTGCTTTTAGGTAGCACAATGAACTGTACCAAAGGTCCTCTAAGGACTCTAAGGCTATGTTCACACTGCAGGCCTTGATGCCCAATTCCGATTTTTTTTTGTGAAATCCTGTTTTTTTTGCGTTGCCTTTCACACTTCCAAATATATGGGATTTGTATGTGATCTCCTTTGTAAACTGCATTTATACAGCTTAAGTGTCCCGCATGCGCAGTAGAGGATGCAATGCGTCACAAGCCAGCATGCTCTGTGTTTATGGAGGTAAACATGAATAGTAGTGCCGGAGCTCATCTAGCGATCTTTCCAAACCTTTAAACCTCAATCTTTTCAAGATGGTTAAAAATAATACTGCTCTTCGCATCATCGTCCACCATAGTGTTTGTTTTCTTGCTGCTTCTGTGTAGCAAGAAGAAGAATAGTGACCTATGTTGGTTACTAATGACATTCAGGTCGGATGAATGTGACCTTGCTGTTCAGACACAGGTCGCATTTGAAAGATCAGATTCGTATCGGATCTAGGACCACATAGCCAAGCGGCCTGGGTCGCATTGGAAAAAATCGGATTTGAGTTGTTCAGACTGTCATGAAAAGATCAGATCCAGGTCGCATGTGGGCCAAAAAAATCGGATTTTGGTCACTTCAGGCTGTGAATGTAGCCTTAGACAACACCCAATTACAGCTTTGCATCTATGCTTTATAACAACAGCATTATTACGCTTTACATTTTTGAGAATAATTTTTGAATCTACTAATTATCAAATACGTTTGATTATTGAGAAGACATTAAATTTGCTTCTTTACTCAAAGTTAGATCCTTTTTGTAGCCTCTGGCTAAAGCAAAAGTGCTCACTTGCCACACAAGATCATACGAGAGGTACAAAAGACTCCTTTCAGCTCAACACTAGCTCTATGTTTGTAGCTGTATTCACATCTTTCAAACCGATGCCTCAACAGACTGCATGGGTAATCAACAGGGTCCTTTCATTGTCAGTTCACAAAAGCATTGATTTAATCTTTGAGGCATCATATCATTGGAATGAAGTGACTGTTCTCATAAGGAATTTCTGATTTGAGGCATGATACCCAAAGGGTCCAATGATATGAAAAAAAAAGTTTATAGATGTGACCTTGACAAAACCCAAAATATTGAAAAAAAAGACTGTAACTCTTGTTTCTGGAGAGGGGATGAGTCGGTGAAGACAATGAGATGAGCCTCAGCTTGGCATTTAGGTCGATGGGCCAACAACGCCTTTAGTGTTGAACTGAGATGAGCTGATAATGTGGCTGACAAATGATGTGTCCAGTCAGTCGGACTGTCTGCTCAGCAAATATGCACTCAGTTATATTCCATTCACTTCAACATGACCCTGGGCCGTGAACCCAGTAAATCAGCTTGACTCTGCACAGTTCATGATAAATGTGTTTGTTCATAAGATAGAGTATACGCCATGTCTATTTGTCAATAAACAATATGAGTTTTCAATACTTATCAATTACTGAAATAATCAACAATTTAGGAATCGATTATTCAAAAATGAGAGTAAACTGATTAAAATATGCCATCTGTTGAAGGACAACCCACAGACAGCTAGAATTCAACCAAAACTGACAGAAATATGCGTGCTTTCATATAAAAATTGAAACCCGAATTTGTCTGTTAACATGCCATTTCCTTTGCTCTTGAAAGGGCAAAATTTTAACATCATTGGGTTAAAATTCTGTCAAAATATCTTATATCATTCCTTTTCTCCCATCTATTGATTAATTTATCGAAAAAATAATCGTCATTCATTGATTAGAAAAATAAGCCTTATTTGCAGCTCTAGGTAGGATATAAATAACTTAAAATACATTTTAATTAGAGCAAAACTATGTTTCTGTTTTTCTTTTTACACTTAAGTTAATGTTACTTTGTGCATTTTATCCGATCATTTTAGAAATGTCCAGGTCATGTTCTATCAGAGTCCTTGTAATGGCAGATTTAAGTGGTCAAAAACAAAGTCCACATACTTTTTGAGATTTATACAAAAATACATTTTGAAAAAGGCACATCCCACACTTCCTAAAATAACAAGGCTGTATTATGCTGAATATCAGATCCCTGACCAAAAAAAAGTATAAAAGAACAACTTGGTTGTCACATTTTAAAGAAAAGACTGTGAGACTACCTCCTAACCCCCAAGATCCCGGCTTGTGACACCGCTTGCCACCAGCTTTATATATTCTTAATCAATTTCCTAGAAATCTATTGGCTCCGACTAAAGGGTCCATGGTTGAACCTTGGGATTCTGAAGATTTATTCTTTCAAGTATTTGACACAAATTCAAAATTCATTTTGAACTGAAAAAGCTTCCTGGGTGGGAAGCTACACGTCTTCAAACTTGGAACTTGGATTACTATGACCTGGATGACTGAGAATCTTCACCGGCAAACTGAAACAAGGTTATTGTTTCATCTGTTTGTACTACTTTGAAAACTGCAATGTTTTTGTTGCTGTATGAGTTTTTTAGTTTGTATTTTCCCCAAAACAATGTGTTACACCTTGCCACCCTGTCTCACTTCCTATCTAACTCATGACACCCCCATCACATTGCGGAGTATCTTTAACCTAAATAGACCATCTTGGTCGTACACTATGAATAGCAGTCATAGGGAAATGTGAGTGGTCCGCGCTGCCCCATACTTCAATGTGTTATAGTCACTACTCACATATAGCAATCTATATTTAATTCTTTTTTTTTCTTTTTTTTTTGATTAAGTGTATTTTGGGGGAAATACAAAATAAGTAGTTATGAGCCTGATCTTCAAAGTTTCAAACTAAGGGATAGGGATGCACACTTTAAGGTGAATATGTCCCATTACAAGTTATGTGATTGTTTTTGTTTTTCTTGTGGCTGTTACTGTTCAGTTTTATTATTTATATTTAAAAAAACAATTATTGCATTTATTGTCTACAGTTCTGCTGTATTAATCTGTGCCGCATAGACATTTTTTCTACTATTACTAATCTTTTAAACTTTGCACACTCGCACAGAATTGCTAATTATGCAGTGAGCATCTTTAAAGAGATCGACTCGGTGCGGTTGGGGTCAGACCACGGCAAGATTGCATCATTGCACCATAGTGGTGTAGAAGTAGTAGTAAAACAATGAACCAGTAAATAAGCCGTTTTGCCAGTATTACCAGTCTCTTGCATCCCTGCTCTTATCTAATTTCCTTTACTATTCTTTGAATGTATCAAGGTTGAGTTAAAATATCTATTTTTTCTTTTTTTTTATCAGTGCATATATTTATTACTGCTGTTGATTAACCATGTGGATAGATTGTTGTGTTACCAAAAAGTCTAGAAAATTAAATCCACCGTCTGTACCTGTAGCTTTTACTTGTAAAAATGACTGGTTCCTCTTTACTTTTCATAAACTGACTTCCTGCTATAGATTGATGGGCAGAAGGAGCAGCAGGCGGCTAAAATAGAACAGCCGCCTATTTCAGAGTAACTGCCAGGTGCCTGCACGTCTGGGACGTTTCAGAAATGCACCATGGTACAGCCGGTGAAACTAAGTGATTGACTACAATTGCTGCAATCAGCTGGGACAGCATGGCGGAGCCGCAACACGTTGCCTTTACACCCGCTGAAACCATGTGGCTACAGTCCAAATGTGACAAATGTGCACAGACCATCTTTGTGTCACTGTACCAGTTCCTTCTTTCTGGTAAAAATGACTGTGAATAATTTGAGTTTTTGGCGCTTGACTTTCAAACATGCTAAATATGAAAAGAAAAAATATGAAAGTCGTCTGTTTCATATATGATCAATTGCTTTGCATCTGGTAAAGAATTAGATATGCATTGCCACAACGTATTTTTACATTTGTCATAATCATATGAACTGCATATTACTGAGAGTTGCGCTTGCTGTTCTGCTCATTTTACACACTTAGTCGCATTTGCACCTGAATTGTAAACCTGCCTTTCACAGGCTATCGCATGTGCATGTGTTTTTATATGTGCATACCTTTAAAACATCAGGCCCTAAGCATACAAGGTGTAAGGCATAAACAGGTATTCACGGCGTTTATGTGTGTTGGAAGGTAGAGACTGGTAAAAGTTACTTTCAGTGAAGGGGGGACCATAACTTGGTAACTAATAAGAATGAGTAATACTACTGCAATAAAATCTTGAATATAAAAAATTGATAAAATCTACCTTTATTAACTCCTCAAAATACATTCTAAAGTATCTGCCCTTTTCTAGGGTACATATCAAATATGATATACATGCTAAGACGAGTACAAAATAGGAAATGAATTATACTGTATATTTTAACAGTATATTTTAGTATAAAATAGAACATATAATAACTTACATTTGCAAACAGTATCGCTGATAGAGGTGCACTCCTGCAACACCTCATCTTCCTCATCACACGTTGTACAGGGGATACATGGGTCCCTGTAATTATCCTGGTCAGAGAAAGTGTCGTCGGTGCATTCCTCGCACACTGTGTCATGGTCCGACTCACACTTGTACAACATGCCCTGGCCTTCGGGACATTTGGTGCAAGCTTCACACCTTTGAGTGACTCTGTTTAGATAGTAGCCGTAGTTGCATGTGCAAATGGCATCATTGGTATCGGTGCAGGGCGTCTGCATGCGGAGCAGCCCAGTACATTTTGTACAAAGCTTGCATTTTTCAGTGTGGCTGAAGCTCTCTGAGAAAGTTTCACCTGAAAGAAGAAGAGTACAAAGAAAAATGTATTAACTATTACAGATACTACACACAATATAGTTGAAAATGATTTTAGTATTACAATAACTTGCCTACAAAACTACTAAAAAGAGATTAAGAAAACAAATATTTGGACAGCTTGAAAAGTTCTGTTTTATTGAATAAAGGCTTTGTAAATGTCGACCACCATATAGAGCAACCTCTCTTTGGAATTTAATTTGTTTTGACTTGCCTCCTTGGGATTAGAACCTATATCTAGATCACAGGTTTCTTTAGTCTCTTCTGCTTTAGCTTAATAAAACAATTCTTAAAGCGGTGCTAAATAACTTTCAGTTGTAGTCGTTTTTGGCTACCTCAAGTGGACAACAGCTGTATTGTTCTGCCTGAAGGAAGACAACTGCTAAGTTCTAATTCATGGGATGCATCCTACGAAGGCCAGATTCGTAGGCCGATTACTTCATAGCGCGGCACCGAGACCTGTTCAGATTGGAAGAGTCCTTGTTATAGGGCCGACAAATACATCCTTCTTTTTTGCACGTTTTGAAGGAAGAGTCCAGTGTATCCTACGTAGCCTTGGATATCTCGTGAATCATTGCGAGTCCATGCAAGCCGGCTTCTCTGTGCTCAGACGTAAAAGATACTTGGCGCCCAATACTGGAGAATATTGGAAGTACAGTTTAAAATAATATAATTGTAATTATAATATATAATTCACATAATAGAAATATGTGAATAGTTCCATCTGAATTAAATGAAAATAGTTGTTTTAAATGGTTCTTTAGTCAGATATGTGATGGGTTATGTTTGGTTTATTGAAATTTTGTTTTTTTTTATCTGTGCCTCTGTAAATGGGTTTGGCTGATATTTAAGGACAGACTCTACCATACCTGCATTGTTGGGAACTATAAATCTGATATGATGCACTGTTGAAGCTCCCCAAAAATGTTATTAACACCCAGAACAGCAGTGAGAAGTTGGGTATTCATTATTTTCCTGTTTTGTGTGTCAATTCTCACGGCTGCGGTAAAAGCTACGGAAGGCTGGAGCTGTTTGAATCAATCAATCATTGTTTGTCAGGTTTACTGACATCCTCCTCAGAGTTGCTTTGTGCTGGTGAAAGCGATATTAACCCCCCCAGGCCATGACAGATGTGTCATTCAACTAGTTGTAAGACAACATTAACTCAAAAAAAGGTTGAAAAGTATTTATTATAGCTTTATTATTATGCAATAATTTCTAATATTGTATGAGTCTCAGTAAAACTTTTAAATAAACAGCTAAGCACACATTTTCATTATTTCACAATATAATATATTATATTGTATAATATAATATCATGTTATATTATATTCTGTAATATAATTCTTTCTTTCCTTTTTCCCATACAACTGGCATTCAAGTCTGTCTCTAAGGTTTAGATGCTAGATGTTGCTCTATGTACCAGGCTTACAACCTCACCAAACGTATGTCTTTCTCCCTTCCATCTTTGCTGAAATGTTGGTATAATCTAATCCTATCTATACCAGTGATTGAGATTGCATAGCTCACTATCTAAACTGCTTTTGCTTGCATGGATTGCAGCTTTAATTGTTGCACTGGGGAGATTTGCCTATTTGGCAGTACAACACAATTTTTATCTAAGCACTTCATCCCTCCATCCATTTTCTGGCACGCTTCATCCAAAGTGGGGTCGCGAGGGGTGCTAGTGCCTATCTCCAGCTGTCTACGGGCGAAAGGCGGAGTACACCCTGGACAGGTCGACAGTCCATCGCAGATTTATGCACTTCTTCTAGCAGTTTGTACCTGTAACTTGCCACGTCATACCGATGTGCAACCTGCTTTTTTAATAAATATTTACCATGTTTTATATATCAGCTTATCATATCATATACTTTCTTTTGTGTGGATTGGCAATTTGTGCGATTTAAGAAAATTAATAACAGTTAAAAAAACTGTTATAAATTCTTTAATGTTCCTTATTATGAAAAAACAATGTATTTAAGTTAGCAGATGCTTTCAATGTAACCAATAATCTTTTGACATAGGTCATCTGATATGTAACATACTAAATAAAATGTCCATCACTTATTTTCCCCAAAATGCATTCAGTCTTAACAAAATGAACTACAAAATTTGAGGCAACCTGATTTTTGCTTAGTTTTTCTTACACTTGCACCTCAAGAAGGAATAACACACCTCTGAAAACCACAATTTTCAAATTTTGGACAGAGAGGACGGATGGTTTGAAAGGGATAAGGGAAGCCATCTCCGTTAAAAGGGGAAAGAAATCTCTGGACAGAGGGGAACGATTCCAAAGAAGAAATAAGCACATTCATCATGATTCAGACACACAACCCATGCACAACTAAAGACTTCAGCAAACCAGATGGTGGCTATTTCTCTAATTAAGAATGTGCTTTCTCAAATGTGTGGTGACAGAATTCAGTTCAGTTCAGTTTTTTGGTCATCAAAACAAATGTAAATGTATGTCTCAATGTAATACAGTAGACTCGATTTATAGTTATGGACACCTACCAAAAGGGTTCAGGGAGACATGAAACCTATTAAAGCCAATCCCTTTCGCTTTCTTGGATAAGAATTACTGGCAGCATTTATTTGCTTATGCCACAAACCTTTCTAAATGTTCTGGGAGTACAAATGAGGAGAGAGAGAAGAATCTAAACATATAAATGCTTTCTTATGAGCTCATTCTCACTGTTTTCCCTGGTTACCTCAGATATTTTTGTTTTATGAGTTGGTTAATTGACAAAGGCTAGAGTCTGGGTGCCTCAAATTTACCGTAAGCCTGATTTATGGTTTCCATAATCGGATGACTGAAAATTCGTACAGGTATATTAGTAAAGTCTTTAACATAATTTGACTTTAAATATTGAGCTTATCAGTCTTTTTTCCCCCTTGTTTTGGTGTTTCTTACACTTTTTTCAAAATGTTTTAGAATTGCTAAAAATAAGTAACAACAGTTTAGTGAAGTTTTTTATTTTTATTTTAAATGTCTGTGCAACTTAGGCAGGTGTGTAAAAACAAATAATGTTATGGATGTCAGATATATTGGCAAAGGTTTCAATCAATAATTTATGGAGTATGGAATTGTATTTCGGCTAGATAGAGAGCTGGGAAATGCACTAAATTATGCAAGAGACCCATTTGTAAAAGCAGTTTGTGTGTGTGGGTGGGTGGGCAGGGAGGGGGCATATCTGTGTTTTTAAGACTGAACAGCAACAGAGATGTAGTTTCACAAGATATAACCAATGCAAATGTGACTGAATCCTTTTTTTTAATCTACAGAATCAAATTTCATTTATTAAAGTCATTTATTAAAATCTAGAGGTACAAAGGACACATTTAAACCTCAGAAGGTTTTCAGCTTTCCTTTTATTTTGTTACAGCTGAAAAACATTGTATTGATCCTTTTGGGATGAATAACGTATCTTTGAGTTTAACTGAATTAAAATAAAATAAAAATGCTTTTAATAGTAACCAGCTTTAGCCCTTTTTTCCACTTCCATTCTTTTTTCAAATCACAAAAAATATATTTTTCCCGTATCATATTTTTGTAGCTGTGATTGTCTCTGGAGCATCCATTCTATTAAGATGTGGTTTTGTACGTGGTTATATGATTTTTTTCGCTATAATGTTTAAGGAAGTTAAAATAAAACTTAAAGCAAAAAAGGATTAAATAATCTATTTTGCACAAATGGGGCAAATGAAAATCAGTAAAAATATACCCTGATTGTTCTTGTTTCTAATTCTAGTATACACATCTATTATTCTAGTATTACAGCTTCTCTCTGTCAAATGGGATTGCAGGGCTTGAGTGGTAAATGATGAATGTTCCAAATAAATAATTTATAGAAACACTGAAGAAAATAGAACTGCTCATCTTTTCTTGGTATGTTCACTTAATAGATGAGCCAGAAAATCAAGCATGATTAGCATCCTTAAAGGCCAAATGAAAAAACTGGATACATTTTCTCTTGTCTTAGTTATGCTGCAGATGTTATTGATGTAAAAGATGTAGAAAACTAAAAACATATCATTCACCAACCAAAAACATGTTGATTTTTTTCTTTTAATGCAGAAAAACCAACATTTTCATCGAAATGTTGGTATGTCTAAATATAAAAGAACTTAAACAAATCTGTGGGACCATTATTCCATACATTAGAACTACATATATCACAATATTTTCTTCAAAAAAACATTCTATTCAGCCATGCTGTTTTTTTTTTCAATCAGTTTTCTCTGTAAATGCAACAAATCAATAGCGAATGCTGCCAGAGGATGCAAAGATTTTTTTTAACATTTAAACCCCTAAATCAAACTAAATAAGAAGTCTCATCATAAGTAGTCTTATAGTTACTCACTTTCATGCCAGGGCAGACACTTTAAGTATTCAGCCTGCCAAGACATTTGAATCTTCATTGCTGCAGACTGAGCTACTGCATAGCATATCATGAAAGCAAATAATATTGGATCATTTGTGCAATATATGCATACCATTTATGAAAATTTCACTGCATAGTGACCATATTTGTTACCTAACAAGTCTTTGAAATAATTTGCGACTTTTCTTTAAATATACCAGACTCCGTGGTTATCATAAGACCATATTATATATCCAACTTTATGCGTATGCTGAAAAAAGCAATAAGCACTACATACTTATTCAAGAAGATTTGCCGAAAATATGTAGATCCATATAGATAGGCTGTAACTACTTTGAGCATTAAATTAAAAATAGCTTTCCATGACAAATCACAATCTTGAGAGTTTGCTTTCACCTTGCGGACAACTAAACCTGATCAGACATTGTAAAATTATTCAGAAACTGATTAAAGGATCACAGTACTTTTTGAACTTTTTCAGGAATATGCTTAAAAGTCTTTTTGTAAAGGCAGGTAGTAGTTATCTGAATTGTTTATTCTGTTTAATTTATTGTTTATAACTAAACTGAAGACAAAAGAAGGTATTGCAGGA